TTAACCATCTAGAGAAGGAAGTTTAGAATTAGTAGGATCAGGCTTTTGCCTTGCATCAATATCGATAATTAAGCGGAGGGGCTGGTTTCCATCGATACATTCATGAGTATCAGGTATTCTATAAACTTCGCTAGGATGATTGATCGTTGTATAACCTTTTCTTGCCATCCGAATTATATATTGAGAATAAATCTCCTCAGGTCGATATGCATCTAAAAGTGCAATATCATTTTTATCAGTATGGCCATGACCCTTTAGGGTCGCCCCTTCGGGCCTGGATGCAAGCCAGTATTTATAAAATGTATGTTCTTTATGGCCGGGTTTATAATCAAGATCTATTAAACCCATAAAAAGCCGTTTTGCTTCATTATATTCAGCTGACTTTTGATTTAAGCACTGTTGCTGTAATGATTCACGAAGACGTTTTTTTGCTTCACTAGACAAACTCATTTTATTGATTTGTATATATGCGTTATTTGTATATGTAGTATATAGTTATAAACTAAAAGTATTATATTTAACCCAAAAAACTTTAAAATGAAATTAATTATTCTATACAATTATTATTATAATAAATATGGGACTCTATCATTGTCCTTATATTCTTAGAACTGGCAAAGTTTGCAATCGAGGTTGCTATCGTTCAGAAGGGTGTAAACTTTATTGGAATTCGCCAACTTGGATTCTTTGCAAAGAATGCGATAAATTAACATATTCTACATATGGTATATGCTCGAATCATGTGAGTAAATATCAAAAAAGAGAATATTATCATTAAAAAAAACAGACCGAATTACATGCAAAAATTGTTATGCTTAAGAATCATATACCTGACTTACCTGATTCTATACACGAAATATAATCATATAGCTCGACATCCTGGTCTTGCTTATGCAAGTACATAAACTCTTTTTTCTGGGTATAGGAGGAAAAAGCGTAATTAATTTCGAATTAAAAAATAACTAGATTAATATATAACTAGATGACACTTACTATTGATATGGCTACGAAAACAGCTACCCCAAAGACCCAAAAACCTAAAGTTAATAACTTTGTATTGGTCTTAGAGCAGTTCCTAGAAAAGCATAATTTGACGGCCGACTCTACTCCAAAACAATTAAGCGAACATGCTCCCAAACTTGATGCTCTACTTCCCGATTGGATGGCCCGCAGGTGTGTTAAAGTCGCTCTTGCCAGAGGCACTGGTAACAGACGCTCATTTAGTGGAGAGCAGGTAGAGGCTCTCTTACCGGATAAGAGAAAGAGAAAACTCACTATAGAGGAAAGGGCAAAATATTGCGCTAAAATTGGTGATGTTATGGATATTTTCGCCCATCATTTAGATTTAGGCCCAAAGAATGATTATGAAAATGAAATAGTCGCCAGCGGTTCACACCAATCACAATTCCGTGTGAAGTTAGCAGAAGCTGGGGTAAGTCCTAAAATTATTAATACCTATGCCAAAGATCCAAAACTTATTCAAGAGTCAAATAAAATTCAGAAAAAGCAAACTATGAAACGAATGGCTAATCCGGATAGAATTCCCACACATTTCTCCTTAGCAAATGTGAATAAAAGGATTCAGAACATGGATGTTTCCAAAATTCCTACTAGAGAGGATCTCGTGGACATAATTGTAATGTTGAGTATGAGACCTGCAGAAGTAAGATCTCTTCGAATTAATCACTATGAACTGGATCATTCAAACATTCCAGCATGGTACAAAGATGGCTATTCTTGGTATTGCACAGGTTATTTAAAAAGTAGAGGAGAGAAGAAAAAAAATCTCGAGCCCCGACCATTTTTTTCTATAGAGAAGAACCCAGAACGTGCCAGAGAATTGCTTACTTGAATTCAAGATGCAATTAAGGCTAAAAAGTTATCTGACCCTGTCTTTACTGGAAAAGGAACACGTAATGCTTGGCCATTTAACGAGTTCTTAAAACAAGAACCTTATAGAACCATACCTAAAAAATTAAGAGATTATGGAAGTAAACACGCTTCCAGAATCCATGGTGGTAAGAAACCAACACCCCAACATCTTAAACTGCTTTCGAGAATCGCAATGAGGCAAGAATCAGACCGCTTTGATGCGGGTGATAATTACGCTATAGGTGATACAGAATCAGAAGAGTACTAGTTCAAAGCAGTGATTAGTAATGCGGTATTTGGGAAAACTTTCAATTAAAAAAATAGTTTATTATAAACATAATAATGAGAGGATCATTTAGTGATATGTTTATAAGAGATACTATTAATTGGGTAGATCGGTCATCCCCTCCAAGCTCTCCAGTTTTAGAACCTGAAAAAGATAAAGTACCAGCTCCCACACAAGGTGATAGCTCTGTGAGTGAATACATTAAAATAATAAAGCTATATGCTATTAGCATTGGCAAGAATTTAGATAATATAGACGTTAAAGAAAAATTCCTCATTGGATTATCACCTGATAATGAAAAGCATGTAGAAGAGTTTGGGATTAAAAAACCTTTGTCTGAAATTTTCGATTTCTTAGTTAAGTTTTGCGGTTCAGCAATGTGATGCTCAGGTGAACCGCATAGACTAAATTAATATTTCTTTTTTTCGAATATACACATTAAACATCACCTATATTTCTTCGCAGTAATAAGAGGCCATTGTTCATGTGAATTATATCCGCAGATAAGAGCATGTGATTTAACTGCAAATCTATGGGAATAGATCAATGAATAATTAATCCGTCAACTTTTTTCCGGAAAGTTCTGGCATAGTACACATATTACAAATCTTTTTAAATTAGCATTATGCAAGTCAATCCGATGTCTCTGATGTTAGAATGGGACGAGAATGGAAATTACGCTAGCGATTTACAGATCTGATCCCACAAAATGTAACGGCACTATAGCATCATCCATTCTACATAATAAAATTCCATTACGGATCATTAGTAGATTTGTATGGGGTATGAATTGGGGTTTAAAATGACATAGTTATACAAAAAAACGTGTGCGATCTCTTCCCATACTAATTAATTCGTGAATGAACAGATCGCCAAGCCCGAATTAGTTTTTTTTTAAATCTGCAAATTAGGTTTGTTAGTCATGAATAATGAACTATATAAATAAGCTATGAAAACTTATCTTGCATTCGGTGTATAAAATTTCTATTATGACAGAACAAAATAACGCTTCCGCAACCCAGGACAAAATATCTGTTACTAATTTTAAAAACCTCGCATTTAATATTCTAAAATATTTCGATGATCCTATTGTTAAAAATGAAAAATTCCCAGAACTAGATAAATGCGTATTATGTAATAAAGAAATTTTTTCAAGTCCTATTAAGTCATTCACAACACTAGCTTGCGGTCACGTATTTCATAGAATTTGCATCGATAAAGAAATTTTACTTACCAAAGAAAACGTATGTCCTGTTAAAAACTGCAAAAAAAGTATTGAAATTCTTGATCAGTTTTCTAGACGGGATTCAGAATCAAGCACGGCATCAATTGTTAGAAGAATGGAAAAATATAATATTCGAAGTCCTCAAGAAATTCACAGGTATATGGTGCCACATATTACATTTGAATAGAACCAGTGTCGAAAAGACACATGATAAAAAAATTTAGCCACGTTATATTTTTTCTGTTATTAATATATAACAATGAAAGAATATAGTATACTTACAAATAAAAACAAACAAAATTACATCGAAAAAAGTGGCATATCTTTAGAGGGTGGAAGCACGGATGTAAGGTCTGTGACGAATGCAATCACCATTCACACCTATATTGTAAGACCTGCAAAAAAGTGGCAGATGGAATATATAAGTGATGTGAATGTAATAACGATAATTCTCGAAT